ATAATATAATCTCTTAAATTATTTTCAGATGGGCTCTTTTCTCAGAAAGTAGTTTGTGTATTTTTTTTTTTTTTTTGCCTGTATTTCCAGCATCATTACTCCAGTCTTCAGAGTCACATGATCTTTCAGAAGTCACTCTAATAGGATGAAACATTTATGATTATTATTAATAATGTTGAAAACGGTCATATTTTGTGGAAACTGTGATACGTTTATTTTCAGGATTTGTTGATGAAGAAAAAGTTCAAAAGAACAGTGTTTATAATGAAATAGAAATACCTTGTAACATTACAAATATTACTGTCGCTTTTTTGCATCCTTGTAAAATATCAGACTTTAAAAAAAATTCTATGTGATTTAATAATTTTAATAATAGTATTTACAATTGATCGCCTGAATACTACAGTATATATATATATATATATATATATATATATATATATATATGTAAACCCTCACACACAAAAAAATGAAGTAATTGTTGTCTTTCTCTGCAGAGATTGTTGATGGAAACGTGAAAATGACTCTTGGAATGATCTGGACCATCATTCTGCGTTTCGCTATCCAGGACATCTCAGTGGAGGGTAAACACACACACACTCTTACATTGGGACAAAGACAATCATGAACCAACCTGACTGCTCATGTTGCTGATTCAACACTCATTATCACTTCAGATGAGTTCTGCATAATAAGCAAATGATTTTCTGTTGTGTGTGTGTGTGTGTGCCTCCACAGAGACATCTGCTAAAGAGGGTCTTCTGCTGTGGTGTCAGAGGAAGACCGCCCCCTACAGGAACGTCAACGTACAGAACTTCCACATCAGGTCACAAACACACACACACACACGAGTCAAATCTCTGAACGTCACTTTCTGCTGATATGTCATACCAAATACTATAAAGGGGATCATTGCTGAAATTTATATCAGTACTATCTATAAATATCTATTAATTGGAAAATGGAGTTTAATGGGCTAACCCAAACTGTGGGCTAACTGTGTGTGTCTCTGCTGTTTCTCAGCTGGAAGGACGGCCTCGCTCTGTGCGCTCTCATCCACAGACACAGACCAGACCTCATCGACTACTCTAAACTCAGAAAGGTGACAGTCACACACACTTTATTGATCAGTTTGCCTTTAAATATCTCACATGGAGTTTTAAGCCATTTCAGCACACAATATTTCCATTTTCACTGTCGGTTTATCCTAGAAATGCTCCTGAGACGGACGGTTTTTGCCGGTCTTAGAATTGGGCAAATTGCTAGTAAAAAAAATATGCATCCCTACTTAGTCCGAAGTGCCAGATCTGCTCAAATGTTTGATTGAATAAATATAAAATTATTAATTATAAAATGGATAGTTCAGACTCTAAAATCTGGTTGAATGAGCCACATTGGAGTCCATTTTGCTTGAATGGCTTAAAATAAAAAATACTGTTGGAGAAAAAAAAATCATGCAAGCCAAATATAGGTTAAAAATAGGGTTAAATGAGGCCCGAGACTAAAAAAAATAAAATAAAAGACAGTCTGTGCCTTAGTGCAGTAGAGTCGACCCGTGCATGTCAGTGTATGATGTCTGTTGTTCCTCTGAAGGACGACCCTATTGGAAACCTGAACACTGCGTTTGAGGTGGCAGAGAAATACCTGGACATCCCGAAGATGCTGGACGCTGAAGGTGAGTGAAAGCGTGCCTCAAATCTATTTTGATGGCCTTAAACTACAGTTTTGTGTTAGATTTATGATGCCAAGGTTGTGGGTTTTATTGCTGATTTGAAATGTTATTAAAATGTAATCTTGACAAACCAAGTTGCCCAAGATGACTGCGGACTTCAACTCCACTTGATTGTCTCTTATTTTTGTCCTCAGACATTGTTAACACCCCTAAACCTGATGAGAAAGCCATCATGACCTACGTGTCCTGCTTTTACCATGCTTTCGCCGGTGCCGAACAGGTAAAATTAGCCACAAATCAAATTTCATTTCAATTTCTCGAACTAAAAAAAAGGCTATCATGATAACAGTGTAAGATCAGTTTGTGTAAATGATTGAAGGAAAATGATTTCAGTAATGCAAGATGCACCCCAGCGTATCGCAGAGTAAATGAAATGTGTAAATGAAAGTAAATTAAGTGCGGAGACTTGAATACAGGCGCATTAACTCCACACAGAATTGGTTATGTCACTAAATGAACTGCTGGTTTTCTCCGTTTCTCGTCAGGCCGAGACGGCTGCTAACAGAATCTGCAAGGTTCTGGCTGTGAACCAGGAGAACGAAAGGCTGATGGAGGAGTACGAGAAACTGGCCAGTGAGGTGAGGACAACTGCCTCTGCGTCACAAACCTGTGCTACACTGATTCCAATAGTGTTCCAATAGAGTGTTCCAATAGTGTTCCAAACAGAGTGTTCCAATAGAGTGTTTCAATAGTGTTCCAAACAGAGTGTTCCAATAGAGTGTTCCAAATAGTGTTCCAATAGAGTGTTCCAAATAGTGTTCCCAATAGAGTGTTCCAAACAGAGTGTTCCAAATAGTGTTCCCAATAGAGTGTTCCAAACAGAGTGTTCCAATAGTGTTCCAAACAGAGTGTTCCAAATAGTGTTCCCAATAGAGTGTTCCAATAGAGTGTTCCAAACAGAGTGTTCCAATAGTGTTCCAAACAGAGTGTTCCAATAGAGTGTTCCATTAGAGTGTTCCAAAAGAGTGTTCCATTAGAGTGTTCCAAAAGAGTGTTCCAATAAAGTGTTCCAATAGAGTGTTCCATTAGAGTGTTCCAATAGTGGGTTCCAAAAGAGTGTTCCAACTTTCCAGAGTTCCAAAGACGAGTTAGAATAGTTTGTAAGTGTGTGATTATAAACTGTAAAAGTGAGTAGATGAGTTTTACTGGTCAGCTTGATGATGTTTAATGATCCCGAAGAGTTCTGTAGTCCCATTTAGCCACTTGATGACAACCACCTTTATCAAGACATTGTAAAGGCATAAAAAAATTTATTTTGTCGTATAATGAAAATTATTCTTGAGCTTGTGTTCACCGCAGACCTTATTTCAGGCATTAAACCAAAAACCCAGAAAGACAAGACAACTGGAAGTGCAAAAATGCTAACTTGCTTATAGGTTTTAAATTCTACAAAATACATGTTACACACATTAGTACTTTTTATAAGTGTAACTACTTTACTTTTACTGTAAACTACTGTAACTACTGTAAACTTTTCAGCCAGGGTAGTAAGTAAAACATGGGTTCTTGAGTTTTTCTGATTCTTTTAACTGGTGCTAGCATTTCTAAACGGCCGTAGCCTTGAATCATAGCAGTTTGCATTGCCAAATGCATTAAATATACACGAAAAATCTATCAGATGCCACTTCCCTTAAATTGGCCGGCCATTTTGGATGAAAACCTTTGGTGTTTTGGCACACATACAGTACTGCCTCAAATTTAGCAAAAACACATAAACTCATAAGGCAGCATAATTACGGTATTTTGCTGATAAAAAAAAGAGATGAAGAAAAACTACATTTCAATGATTTTGCGTCCGTAAAAGTTTGCACGAAAAACGTTGCATTCGCTTCCAAATCATCTCTGTAGGAATGCAAAGTTTGTCTGTGTAAAATTTTTCTCCCCACCTCATTTTTTTATCACTATATGTCCACTCAGGGGCTCCATAGATTTATTTCACAGCCTCTAATTGATGCGGTTTTAAATACGAAAAAAATAATAGTAAATGAATATCAGCATTGAGAATAAATATAATTTTCAAAAAAAAAATTTGTTTGTAAAAAAAAAAAAGTAATTTCTTCTCTAAAGACAGTATATTTATGCTGATCACCGTTTCCCATCAGGAGCCATTTAGGTGGCATCTCACTAGGGTTCGGAAAAAACCTAATCTTGTTCCTTCTAAACCTCCCAACATTGTCTCATGCCGATCATTCTCCATCTAAACCTCTGTAGTTGTTGGAGTGGATCCGCCGCACCATCCCGTGGCTTGAGAACCGCGTGGCGGAGCAGACCATGCGGGCCATGCAGCAGAAGCTGGAGGATTTCCGGGACTACAGGCGCGTCCACAAGCCTCCACGCGTTCAGGAGAAATGCCAGCTGGAGATCAACTTCAACACCCTGCAGACGAAACTGCGCTTGAGCAACCGCCCGGCCTTCATGCCCTCCGAGGGGAAGATGGTGTCGGTAAGTCATGAAACCCATTGCAAAACTTGGGTTTTTTCTTCAGGCCCCAATTCTGGCCCTTTTGGAAAGCATCTTCTGCACGCTGGTCCTAAGGTTGAAGACAGCTAGCAGCTCGACTTTATGATTAGCCACTCCCACTCCTTAGAAATCAGCCAATCAAACACTGTAAAAAGTGATCAGGTGACTTCACTTTAAAAAAAATGCAGGGCACCCGTTGCCTTAAAACTATTAAGTAAATAAAACTCATGCTTAAAATTAAGTAATGTGGATTTTCAATTAAGTTTATTTACTGAAACCTGTTTCCTCAACTTTTTTAAGAGAACTGAACACTTTTTTTAACTTTTAAGAACAATTGAAGAAACATGTTGCCTTAAAATTATTACGTAAATAAACTTTATGCTTAATTGAAAAAATTAAGTAATGTGGAACTTATTTAATAATTTTAAGGCAACCGGTTTCCTTAATTGTTTTAAGTAAGTGAACTGAACACTTTTTACAGTGAATCATGTAAATTGATTGAGATTAGACTCATTGATGAAGGTACCATTCGAAACTAAAAGCTTGTTCACACCGGGACGAATTTCGCGTGTGATATTCGCCGACGTTTAACGCTTTGTGACTAAACAGAGGGCACCAATGTGAGTGTTCATTGGTCGGATTGCAAAAACGCCAGTTTTTTAAAAAAAAATGTCTTTTTGGCTATCCGACCAATGAGATTGGTGCTTTTGCTCACGTGTCTTGAGCTTCCGAAGTTACAGTAAAACACAAAACGAAGAACGAAGAAGATAAGAAATAACAAATAAGGGAAGAGATAAGACGAGGAAGATGCAAGGCAAGATGAATACCGTAAATACAGTTTTAGGGAGTAGTTAACTACAAGTAGCGACGCTACTAACTTAACTACATTTTTCAGTAGCTTGGCAGTAGCTCAGTTGCTTTTCAAACAGTGTAGCTTTTCCAGTAGCTAACTACTTTTTGCATCAAGTAGCGGTGTAGCGCGAGCAAAAGCTACATTGCGTTTGTCGAGCCTGCGCGAATCAGTGCGATCGCCGCGATGCAAGGATATTCTTCTTCTTGTTAGATTACAAACTCATTTTTTGCCATTACCGCCACCTGTTGTTTAATCACGCGTCTTGCGGCTAACGGTTCACTGACGTACAGAAGTGGGTTGACAGTGACACACCCATATGATTATCCATGATCGAGGAAGACGTGACGGCAGATTTGGAGGACGGAGAAACAACTAACGTTAATTACCCATGGCCTTATTTGTCCAAGTTCAATCGGTATTTTTGAGAAAATGTTCTACATGCAATTTACGTTGGATGTATATTTCATTCTTGCAACAGTCTGAGATATTTGAGTGTTGTGTGTAATAAAACAATACTCTTTGAAATCATGATTGTATTGCATTGTTTTAAACACTAAATATTTTACTTAAAACATTCCTCAGACGCTTATTCAGTTATTTGTAATATACGTTGTTCAAAAAAGTAAAAGTAGTTTCAATGTAGCTAGCTACTTTTTGATAGTAACTTGTAGTGTAGCTAACTACTTTTCCAAAAGGGTAGCTTGACTGTAGTTTAACTACTTTAACTTATGAGTAGCTTGTAGCTTGTCAAAATACAGTTTCAGAGTAGCTTCCCCAACACTGCGTAAATACTTGCTCTCTTCTTCTGAGTGAAAGTTGCGCAGCGCCACCTTGTGTACCGGAGTATTTCTCTTTTACATTAAGCGCCATCTAATGTCAGGGAATGAATCTGCATGTTCACTCGGCTTATCGTCAAGGAAAATCGCTTGGGTGTGAACACAAAAAATGCGTTGAAAAACCGTGTACGGCGCTTTAGCGTGTGTTTGTGTTTTCGCAGGACATTGCTAATGCATGGAAAGGTCTGGAGCAGGTGGAGAAGGGCTATGAGGAATGGCTCCTCACTGAGATCCGCCGTCTGGAGAGACTCGATCATCTGGCCGAGAAGTTCAAGCAGAAATGCTCCCTGCACGAGTCCTGGACCGCAGGTACAAATCTAGGAGGTCTACAATACCTGGAGAAAACTGTCCGTTAGCGTTCCCATTCATCTCAGCTAAAGGAACATACATATGCAGGCAGAAGAGAATGCGTTTTGAATTGAGGTTCTCCGTTTGCAGGGAAGGAGCACCTGCTGTCTCAGAAGGACTACGAGACGGCCTCTCTGATGGAGATCCGGGCCCTCATGAGGAAACACGAGGCGTTCGAGAGCGACCTGGCCGCCCACCAGGATAGAGTGGAGCAGATAGCAGCCATCGCTCAAGAGCTGAAGTAAGACGGCTTTAATGGGTCAATCTCACGAAACCTGTCAGAAACATCCCTGGGTCATATTTCACCCCAAAATCAAAAGAATGATATGCGTAATAATATTGTTGTTGTTATACAGTTATAATGTCCAAATTATAACAAATGAATGCTTGAAATTAGAACCAGACCGATATATCGGCCGATATTAGGCTTTTTTCATAATATCGGCAGTCATAATGGCCGATAAATGAATATTTAAAAAATAAAATAAAAACGGACGAAACACGCTTTAATCATCTCTCCTTGGCCTATTATATTGAAAATGTATGTTTTACAATTTGCAGTATGATGTTATCTATTGCTAAATTATGGCTCATCATAGACTAGCTAACCACAAAGCAGGCCACTATCATCAGTGGAAGACCGCTAACGTTAACATTAAAGTCCCTGTAAAGTCAAAATTAAGTATGTGTTCTGAGTTTGTCACACCACAGAAAAATGTGTAATTAGCCACCCAGCCAAATTTGAATGATAAAAAAAGTCGGGAAGTACATAAAATAAGCTATCAAAATCATGAAAAAATGAGCAGATTCTCTGCTCCCAAACGCTGGGGGCGTGTCCGCTGGCTGCGCTGAAACCACGCCCACTCACGGGAAAGCTGTTGACGGTGATATTAACTGATTAGCTTTTGGAGACGAAAGGACAGAGCCGGCTTCAGACCGCTTTTAGCAGGGGGGCATTTATTTTCAATGGGTGGGCACTAGGTAGGTATGGGGACTTTTTTTCCGATATTAGATATCCTATATTTATTATTGCTACTGCCTTTTCTGTTAGCTATTAACATGAAGTAATGCAACCCACACAATAAACACATAAAACATTACACATTGTTGCAAGACGAGCGACTCTTAAGAAATTTGATCAAGGGTTAAATAGGCCTGTTCAAAAAAAAAAATTGCAAGACCGACTCTGACCACAGCTTTATAATAGCAAAGCTAACGAACATGTACACAATCTCTCACTGACAGAATGGGCTCTATGCACGGCGGTATTTCCGGTGAAGCATTAGGGATGCTCGATAACTTCCGCCGATCGTAGAGTCCAATGTAATACCGAGAATTTATATTGAATTTTATACTCCATGGTTATACTAAAGAAACGTTAGTCACAAAAACAGATAAAACAGACACCCCTCGTTGTGTTTATGCTTCTTTTTAAAATTATATTAAGTAAACATAACTATATATAAAATTACATCTAAACGTATGTACGTTTCGTTTCAATGACGGGAGGACAGTAAATTTTGAAGACTCTGCCATAATCCCGTTTTCCTCGGTTCTCCTCCGCTTTAATCTACACAACCGGAAATGGACGAGCATCCTTGCGTCAAATGCGGAACTTATGCGTGCATACAGAATACTATCTCAATGGCGGAAGTGAGAAAAAAAAAGCTAAGTTACTCATCTTTATTCTGTTCTAACATAAGCATTTATATTCGTAGCCTTAAAAAAGCATCAGTTACCTTTATCAAATAAAACCTTTAACACCTTTAACAAATAAAAAACACCCACAACATACACAGATATTATTCTACAATTTCCATTTACAAGAAAATATAGGCTTAAACACCTGTTTCTCCACGGCGGGAGTGAGTGACATTTCAGGACAATGGGCAGCGCAAAAACTAGGCCAACTAAACTATTAGTTTCATCACGTGACAACACATAGTGAACATTTCAGTACATGCCAGTTAGATAAATAGCTACACTTACGACTCGGACTCGACTGTCTTTGGTCTCGGTCTCGACTACAACACTGCACGGTAGAAGCACCAAATACCAAAGCCGGGCTGTCGTTGTCTTGCTGTATGGGGTAATCGATGTGTAAGGAGAAACTGTGGTATTGAACCATTTTCTAATTTCCATTTTTGGAGAGTTTTCATCTGTTTGCTTTGTTTTGAATGCAGGAAGCTCGCGCGGTCGCGCCAACTGAAAATCATTTCATTCAAGTATTAACGTGCGTGATTGGGGGGGTGGCAGGGGGGTTTCCTCACAGCGTCACACTGGTTTTTATGTTGGCTTTATTGTATTTTCAGCTAATGAGCCGTTTGTAGACATATATTTGTACTATTTCTCACTGAAATGTGAATTAAATTAAACTGATATTATTTTGTAAATTATATCATAATTCAATTTGGGGGGGCACAAAATACATTTGGGGGGGCATTGCCTCCTAATGCCCCCCCATAGCGCCGGCACTGCGAAAGGATGAAAGCTGAGGCGGGAGATCGTCGTTTCGGCCACGTTCACCAGTAACAGCGGATTATCAGTGAATTATCAGTGAATCCAAGTTGTCTCTGAGGAAAGTTTATAAATCGATCCAGTGTAAAATGATCACTACAGAGGCGGGTGTTGCTGTCGGTGATCCTCAACTCTTCATCAAGGTAACGTTAGGCTCTCTAAAAACCTCTTCTTGATGTGATAGTTTTTAGGGGAATTTAAATGAAGAGACCGATCTGTTTTGTACATGATCGCATCCAGGTAGTAGCCCATGCATGTCCATGTCGAAGGCATAGCTAGCTAGAAAACTGTAGGATCAGCTGTAGTGACTAATAGTACTGACAGTCACTCGCGATTGAGCGGTGAATGCGAATGTGTTCGGGGATTGTGTGTGGAGAGGAGGATATCAGACTCTGTGCGTCATCAAATAGGGGGGTGTCCAGCAGCTCATGAGTTCCAGTGCGTCACGGAGCCCTGTTTTAGCCCCGCCCAATTAATCCGTAAAATTGCAATGGTGAAAAACTGTTTAACGGTCTAACTCCACATTTCAGTACTTCACAGTTCACAGTCTTTGTAATATGTTTTAGCAATACATATGTAACATTTATAATGTGTTTAGAACTTTTTTGTAGAATTGACTTTACAGGGACTTTAATGAGCTTGGAAACCACTATGAACTTTTTCTGCCCAAATGAAGTAATGATTACCGTATTTATAACTAGCATATCTCTAGTTACAGTCCCTGCATTGTAAAATGTAAGTTATACTTGCGAGGAGTGAACATTTAGACATAAAGTAGAAAAAGTATCAAACGTATCTTGTGCAGAAAAGTCAGCTTTTCTTTTACACGTGTGTGAAATCCAACAATATTTAATAATAATAATAAAAAAATATCGGCCGATATATCGGATTTTAAAACCCAAAAATATTTGTATTGGTATCGGCCTTCAAAATCCTTTATCGGTCGGGCTCTAATTGAAATATCTCACTTTGCATGTAATGAGTCTATTTATTGTATTAGTTTCACCTTTTAAGTTGAATTACAGGAATAAATGAACTTTTGCACGACATTCAAATTTTTCGAGTTACGCTCATATATTTGGTTACACTTTATTTTGATGGTCCCCTTTGATATTCTATGGTCTATAATATATTTATAATCATAATTATATACTGTAAGTAGCCTAACGTTGCAACTACATGTCAACAATGTCTGAAGGGGCCCATCAAAATATGTTTAATAATGAATCCATGCATTATTTAACACAATGACAGGTTTCATCCAGAGATCTCCATACGGCTTTTCAAAGGTGCTCAGATTTGTCTTTCTCTCTGACTAGTGAGTTGGACTATCATGATGCCACTTCCGTCAACGCCCGCTGCCAGGGCATCTGCGACCAGTGGGACAACTTGGGAACCCTCACCCAGAAGAGGAGAGACTCTCTAGAGGTGAACACACCTCAATCAAACACATCTATAACAGTTTGAAGCCAAATATTAACTTTCCAGTGTAAAGGTGCAAATGGGAATACCAGTCATCCAAAAATTATTCAGACACCTTCAACATGTCTACATATTTTTTTACTAGTGGGTGCAGGACACTATAGTTCATTAATGTATGTAAGTGAATCATTTTTGGTTTGACTGTATGTAAAAAGATCAGGAAACTATTTCTGAATGTTTTTGTGCAAATGACTGTAGCCAAATGTTTTCTCTCTTCCACCAGCGTGTAGAAAAACTGTGGGAAACAATTGATCAGCTGTACCTGGAGTTCGCCAAGAGGGCGGCGCCCTTCAACAACTGGATGGATGGAGCGATGGAGGATCTGCAGGACATGTTCATTGTGCACAGCATTGAGGAGATCCAGGTTAGAAGCAGGTTTAAAGATGACACTAAACTGCAAATGCAATGCATTAAACTTCCATAATGTGATGCATTTCCAAGTGAAAAGAATATTCAGCTTGAAAAAATACCATAATATTGAGAAAGTTTGCAGTCTCTTGCGTTCTCAGAATTGAGAAACAGCCACAGTCAGTGTGAAAGGACTCTATAAGCACCAATGCCAAAGTCCCAAGTCATTTCATTTGCTGGCCGCCTTTGAAACGCCTGTCGAACAGCTATTACAGTCATAGAAGTACGGGTAAACATCCATCCAGTTCTCATAGCTGTTCACAAATAGTCCCACCTCTGTCGAGTTTCCAAGCGTACCGTACCGATACTAAAATGTGACGTGAATACACTGCAGATCTCTGATTGGTCAGACAGAATCGTCACTACCAGCGTCATTGTATTTGCGAGACATCAAACCCGCTAGATTTAAATAGCTAGTGTAGTACAACTCATAGTAATGTGAATAAGAATTAATGTTAAACAGGTAAATAGTTTTTATTTAGAAGTTCATGTAATGATTAAAGATGTTAAATAATACTTAACCCTCAGGGGCTCTTCGGTCATTTCTGACCGAAAAAATTTCTGTTTTGAAATTTTAAAAATCACGGCTTCATCGGAATGTTACGAAACTTGGTAATTTTTTTTTTGGCATTTGGTACGTGAATACAAAAAAAATTGAGGTCATGATCTGAGCATGCTAAGTGGTCGTAAAAAAAAATAGTCACACTTGTGGTCTTGTGTCAAAAATGACCCAATAGGAAATGAATGGGAAATTGACAAAAACACAAAAACACAAAAATTCACAATTTTTTTTTTATTTATTTTTTTTACATTTTTTTAACAAAAAATCGTTTTTGAGATTTTTTAAACTATACATTCAAATCCACCAAAAAAAAAAAAACAAAAAAAAAAGTGTTCATAAACATCTGGGGAATTCACATGCCTCTCCATAGAGAGCTGTACATGCCATCTAGTGGTTACACCATGATTCTACGCTTTTTCTCTATACTGTAACCAGATGGTGCTAATTTTCTTCAAAAATTTTTTTTTTTTCTGAAGGCCTAGACTCTATATTAAACTAAAATACCGCATTAATAATTTTTTGAAAAAAATAATATATATATAGAAAAATATTTTTTTTTTTCCATGGCAAAAATAGACCATAAATATTGCATAAATATTAATAAATTCAATCAAATTGTCTCAAAATGCTAAATTACAAAGAATAAATATTATAGAACAAAAATAAATTGCATTGGTTTTACTGGGATGTAGGAAATTTAATTTTTAGGTGTCCGGTCACTTTTGACCGGGACGATAACAAGTGTGACTCCGAAACGAAGAGCACCTGAGGGTTAAAAGGTTAAAGCATCACATTTTCTTTTGTAAATCAGAAAACAAAGAGTAAAACGGAGATATTCATCTTTTATTTCCACGTTTCTGAAGTGGATTTATTGAACTGTGTTGCTGGAATAATGTTAGATAGTTATTAGTGTAAGCCATCGCACTTCTCAAGATGTCAGACCTCTACAGCCCGTATCAGCCTGTTTTAAAACTGCTTGCTTGAAGAAAAAAAAAAAAAAAAAACTTCCAAAAAATAATAAAAGCGCCATAAGTTTATGATTAGACTTTATTTGAAATCACCAATGATATTTCACAACTGCCCCATAAATTGTGTTTCTAAATGCTCAAATCATGACAAAAAATGCATCATAAATGCATGTCTTAGAACACTGATGACTTTACCAATTGCTGATTGGCTGTTTAATTTGGAAGGCGGGACTTATTCCGCCATATTGCACACATTGCACTTTCTCCCATTCAGAGGAATATGAGTGCATCGTCTTTGTACATCTATAGTAACAATACTATAGACTGGTTATTGAATGGAGAAACTATTTTAACTACAGCTTTAATGTTTTTAATCTCCATTTGTCTTTCAGAGTCTGATCACAGCTCACGACCAGTTCAAGGCCACCATACCCGAAGCCGACAAGGAGCGCATTGCCATCATGGGCATCCAGAACGAGATCACGAAGATCGCTCAGACCTACGGCATCAAGCTGGTCGGAGTCAATCCATACACGGTCCTCAGCCCACAGGACATCAGCAACAAATGGGATGCTGTGAGTACTGAGTACACACACTCACACACACACAATTTCAAGACTTAACTCTCACGCAATTGACACTTTTCACATGTAGGCTAACATTTACCTCAGGAAAGCCACATAATGACCCTTACACGTTAGTTCCTATCTATAAAATGTGCTGTAGTTGGGAGTATTTTGCTAAATATGTGCACTAGATTACATATTTATTTATTATATTTTTACATATAACATTAAAATACTATAACGTTACTTGTTTTATAATAAAAACCCCAGTATATTTTATTTGAGTTGCTATTTTTAACCTTTAATAATAATAATGCCAGCTGACAGGGCTCTACGTATGTTTACATCATTAGGTCAGATATAGTTTTTTGCTTGAGAAAAATAGCATGCATCTACTATAGCTAATTTTTATTCAAATGCATCGATATTAAATTAAGATCCGAATCAAATCACAAGAATTAAACTGAAATCGTGAAAATTTGTGTCAAGCAATAATAAAAACAGTAGCCTACCAGTCAGTGTACCATGTAAACATTGTAACATGTTGTCACTAAACTTAAAGGGATAGTTCACCCCGAAATGAAAATTCTGTCAGTAATTATGTGTTGTACGTCACACGCCAATACGCCAATAGTGAGCCTACGTGTGACGTAGCTTTACGCAATCACACTACGTTAACTGACTACAGGCCCATGGAGAAGGAAGTGAATAGTTGAAATAAAGTCGTTATTTTTGTTTGTTTTTGCGCACAAAAAGTATTCTCATCGTTTGATAAAGTTAAAATTGAGCCCCTGTAGTCACTTGGACTATTTTAACGATGTCTTTGATGACTTTTCGATGCCAGCAAGAGTCATTCCCTCAAGAAGCCTATGGACTAGTATGCAGGAGTGATCTTAATATCTTAAATATCTTAATTTGTGTTGCGAAGATGAACGAAGGTCTTACGGGGTTGGAACAACATGAGGGTGAGTAAATACTGACAGAATTTTCATTTTTGGGTGAACTAGCCCTTTAAGACCAATCAGGGACGATGGCCTACCCCTAACCCCGCCCATAAACCTACCCGTCACTGGGGTTAAGACCAATCAGGAATGACTATAGTTCCTAAATGGTATATGGTTGGGTCCGGATAACAGGAAAGTACCGTTTTTTTTTTTTTTTTTTACGCCCCCCTTCATAATTGTCACTCCAAGCTAAACTCGGAAGTGTTCAGCCGTGGTAATTGCCTTGGTTGAGTGTCTGATGTAGTGCGGTGTGGTCTGTAGGTGAGGCAGCTGGTTCCCCACAGAGACCAGATGCTCCAGGAGGAGGTCGCAAGACAACAGGCCAACGAGAGACTGAGGCGCTCCTTCGCCGCTCAGGCCAACATCATCGGACCCTGGATTCAGACTAAGATGGAGGTGAGCTTGTTCAACAGGTGTCGAGTGTAACGGGAAGGATATGCGTAATCAAAGAACAACTGTCTTTTGAAGCTCATATTAACAGTGTTTACCCGTTTTGCGTTCTTCCATAATAGGAATATAAATCGTCCTTTCACTCGAGTACCGCTACGCTTGTGCATGTTACTCTTGTAACGTCACGAATCGACTATTGTAATGTTTTGTTTTATGAGCTTACTTCCAAATCTCTTCATAAGGTCATTGGTACAAAATGCCGCAGCTCGAGTCATTATTAACATATTTCTTGCACTGGCTCCCAGTTAAATTCAGTGTAAATTTAAAATGTTACTTTTTTTTTTTTTTGAGGTTTTTATTTTATTTTTTTAAAAAGTCGGGTCATTTTGCATTGTTGATGACGGCTAACTAGGCATGATCACATAATCACTGAAATATGTGTAATAATTCTGTTTTATTTTTTTATTTTTTATTAAACAGTCAGACATACATACATACATTTTCTATATACATATTCCCTTTTTTTTAAATGTTACTTTTAATTTATAAAAGCACTTTACAACTTGGCTTCTTCCTATCTTCTAGATTTTGTTCATATACAGGTTAACCTCGAAAAAATAGAATATTGTGCAATTTAAGTTAATTTATTTCAGTAATTCAACTTAGGTGAAACTACTATATTATATAGACTCATTACATGCAAAGTGACCGATAATTCAAGCCTCTATTTGTTATAATGTTGATGATTATGGCTTATGAAAACCCCAAATTCAAAATTAGAATATTGTGAAAAGGTTTTCAAGTCATAATAGTCAAAATTATAACAAATAAAGGCTTGAAATATCTCACTTTGCATGTAATGAGTCTATATATTAGTTTCACCTTTTAAGTTGAATTACTGACATAAATTAACTTTTGCACAATATTCTAATTTTCGAGTTTCACCTGTAACTGTTTCTGTTTCAGTTCATCAAGCGAAGGTACATTAAAGTTGTTACAAGGTTTTATTTCATTTAACATTTAGTTTTAGTTTACTTTAATAACCAATAACTGATAAAGAGGACAAATCACCATGTTTAATCTCTTTGAATTATGAGTAGCTTAGCATTTAGCTTGGTTGTGAAGCGACACTGTTTGTCGTTTTTGTTCTTCCTCTTCTAATAGACATTTGTTAACTATCCCTGTCTTTCTCTGTGTTGCTGTTATTAGGAGATTGGTCACGTGTCGGTGGATATCGCCGGCTCTCTTGAGGAACAGATGAATAATCTGAAGCAGTACGAGCAAAACATCATTAACTACAAATCCAACATTGACAAACTGGAGGGAGATCACCAGCTCATTCAGGAGGCCCTAGTCTTCGACAACAAACACACCAACTACACCATGGAGGTACACACACACACACACACATACTATGCGATTCCAGATAGGCTCAGAAAAACCATATGATCATTCCTAGTGCAAAACTTAGTGTTGCGTTATACGGAAGAACGGGGCTAGTTTTCACACTTCCTGTGAATATTTATTTACGAAAATCAATTTCTGTACACATATACACATTAAAGTCTTGACAGCAGCAAAGCTTTTAAAATGTAAACTAATATTGACTCTAAGTTGTCACAGTGGGAACCTTTTGTTTTATCGAACACATTTATTTGAAATTTAGGTAACAACAACAAAAAGGTATTAAAAAATATATATTATTTTTTACTATTTAATTACTTTTTTAGCTAAATTTAAATAGTAAAACTAATATGAATCACAAAAAAATCAGGAAACTTTTTTATATGATATAATATATGATATGATATATTAGCGACATCTAGTGGTGAGGTTGCGAATTGCGGTTGCCAACAGGAAGTGATGTCGTCATCTGAGGCAGCAGAGAGTAGCCATTTCAGCAATGAGGTTTCTTTACAAAGATGCATTAAAAAAGTAGGTTTGCTTAATTATTCAGTAAAACAATATGTTCCTGTGAATGTTATTGTTACCTGTTCATCACTGTGTCAGTGTTTTATTCACTGACTTGCTAGATCTTTGCATGAAGAACAACACAGTGACGAAACGCATTTGTCCATTCATGTTGATGTGTGTAGATAGAAATGCTCATTCTAAGGTAAAAAAAAACACACCAGTTCGTAATGTAAGTAAGTTCTTTACACACCACTGAAAACATAGTTATGTATAAGTTAGGTTTAGGTTATATTTAGGTTATCCTCCTAAATACTACACACTGCACCTTTAAGTTTTATCTTAACGGCTTGCCCAAAGAACTCTTTACAAGGTCACCATTAAAATAAATCAGAGTGCACATTCCCTGATTGAGTCATGCCCTCCTCCAGCATGTCCGTGTGGGATGGGAGCAGCTGCTAACCACCATCGCTCGCACCATCAACGAGGTGGAGAACCAGATCCTGACCCGCGACGCCAAGGGCATCAGCCAGGAGCAGCTCAACGAGTTCAGAGCCTCCTTCAACCACTTCGACAGGGTCAGTACGACGCACGGCAACATTCACAACTGAGCCAGCCAGGTATACAAGTGGATTCATTACTGTGTTTAACTTGCAGAAGAGAAACGGCATGATGGACCCCGACGATTTCCGCGCATGTCTGATCTCTATGGGTTACGATCTGGTGAGTGAAAGGGAAGCTCCGCCCACTTGCATATAGCCACACCCCTTTCTAAAAAAAACAACATTGTGACAAAAATCATTTATCTTCACTAAACTACATGCAGTTATTATTCATTATTCAGTAAAACGTTAATATTGTAAAATGCTATTAAAATAGCTATTTTTACGAGCTGTTTTCTATGGAAACTTGTTTCCGCCACAAAATAAAACATTTGAAAAGATAAAGGCAACTTTTTATCTCACAATAGTTAAATCTCGTAATTCTGACTTTATTTCTCAGAATTGCTTTAGACTTTAATCTAAAGTCTAAAGCATTAAAGTCTAAAGTCGCAATTGCGACTTTTTCACACAATTCTAACTTCATAACATGAAATTGTGACTTTATCAAGTAATTCTGTCTTTATAAATCACAATTGTGAGAAATATGCTGAATTGTGAGATAAAAAGTCGCAATTGCCTTCTATAAATTTTTTTATTTTTATTTTACGCAATTTTATTTTAATTAAAATGATCAATATAGAATTACTATTGTAAAGTTATCAATGTCTTTACTGACACTTTTGAAAATGTAAGTATTTCTTAAAAATAAAATCTTAAACAAGAATTACAATTTTACTTCAAAACAAGAATTTTGTTTTACTACTTCAAATAATAATTCAAAGTTAAATTAACTATAAATAGTAATTATAATAACTACAAATAATTTGACTAAATGTCCTAAATAAAGGTAGGCATATCACACATTTGATTTTTTTTTATTATTTAGTTAAATTCTGATTTAAAAAAATTATAATTCAGTAAATTATTTTGATGTCATTTTTTTAAAGGTTTTTCTTTTTTCAGTTGAACACGATTTTGTAGAAAACCTCTCCATCATAATGAAAAAAAAAGTATGTAGATATTTTGCCAACCCCCTACCAGGACCCCGATAGATGCTTTGCAGAACACCTGAGCACAAAGATAAATGTGTATCTCGAACCTCACTGGCTGTTTCCTGACAGGGTGAGGTGGAGTTCGCCCGCATCATGACCCTGGTGGACCCCAACAACACAGGCGTGGTCACCTTCCAGGCCTTCATCGACTTCATGACGCGCGAGACCGCTGAAACCGACACTGCTGAACAGGTCGTGGCGTCCTTCAAGATCCTGGCTTCCGACAAGGTGAGATCAAGTCACACAGATAGACTTTTGAATATGGCTTAGATAGTCAGACTTCAGATATATACATCTTAAAGGAGAACTCCGGCGAATAATGAACCTTTGGTCTAATAAACATCGGTACATAGTCAACCGTTCTCTGAGATTTCTTTTCATGATAATCGAAAGTAAAGAGTTTTATCTCTAAAAACTGTTTAGCGTATAATGCTAGTGATGGGGGCATTGACTAAGTAAAGAGAAATCGCTAGTTTATACCACTAACAAGGCTCAAAATAGCCCCACACTAATGCAGTAACATAATGAGGCTCCATACATGCAAAACGAAGCATTGAAAACTGTTTAAGTGTTCAGACCGTTTAATAAGAAGATACTTTATGAAGACAGTTCACTTCGAGTATACAGACAGGAGCCATCTTAAAAATAGTCTCGATAAGTCAAACCACGAACGCCGTGCTGAGTGATCTGAACTGTATGAAGTTCAGCGAACTTCTGAACTGTATGAACGGCGTTCGGGGATCGACTTATCGAGACTATTTTTTAAGATGGCTCCTGTCTGTATACGCGAAGTGAACTGTCTTCATAAAGGATCTTCTTATTAAACGGTCTGCACACTTACAACGTTCTCAATGCTTCGTTTTGCATGTATGGAGCCTCATTATGTTACTGCGTTAGTGTGGGGCTATTTTGAGCCTTGTTAGTGGTATAAACTAGCGATTTCTTTTTACTTAGTCAATGCCCCCATCACTAGCATTATACGCTAAACAGTTTTTAGAGATAAAACTCTTTACATTCGATTATCATGAAAACAAATGTCAGAGAACTGTTGACTATGTACCGATGTTTTATTAGACCAAAGGTTCATTATTCGCCGGAGTTCTCCTTTAATGTGCGTTACACAAAACACTTAAGATTCTGACTGTCTTAAGTAATGCAATTAAGTTAAGCAGTGCATTCTGGGTAAAATTCGCTAAATTTCCCAAGTAAAATGTAAAATGTCCTTGTAACTGTTATACTCCTCCGACAAGCACATATTTCCAGCTAGGGTAAACTGCACTGAGCGGTTGAATGCTTACTCAATCCGCCATGTTTATTTATTTGAAAAAAGTGTCTTATTTTACCCAGAATGCATTGCAGTGAGTCCTACTTAAGATAGTAAAAGTCTTAAGTGCAACACTCTGATTTAGATGTCTATCTTAAGTCTGACTATCTACTATATCGAAGCCATAATCAAAGTCTATCTTTGTGATACCGACCCCTGACGTTTCTCTTTCCTCCATGCGTGTCTGAACAAAACCTCAGGGATTTTGAATTAATCACAAGAACGTGTCTCTTCTTGTCCTTCAGCCCTTCATCACTGTGGAAGAGCTTCGTCGTGAACTCCCCCCCGAGCAAGCCGAGTATTGCATCAGCCGCATGACCAAGTACATCGGCCCCGAAGGGTCCCCTGGAGCCCTGGATTACATCTCCTTCTCCAGCGCCCTCTACGGAGAGAGCGATTTATAAACGTCTTTCATTTTCTCCTTCTTTCTCTCTCCTCTCGATTTCTCCAAAAGCCCCCAAATGTAGCTTTCAATCTGAGAGAGAGTTAATAATATCCCTCGTTTCCCCCAAAATATACTGTTTTTCTGTCTACACTGCTAGCTTTAACATCGTACTGTGTGTGTCTTACGTCCACCCTATAAACGGAGGGATGATATACAACGGGAGTTTTTAATCTCAAATTAAGTCCAATTTGGATGGCAGACGCTTGTGTCTCCATACGCACCTGATATGAAGAGTCAACATGGAATCAAAACCGACCTTATTCACGTTCCTAATGGTCTGACGCTACGCAAAAGAATGTCTTCATAATCTTGAAACAACTTTCTGTTACAGATGATGTCATCTAGGCTGGGAATGATTCGACAAATAGCCATTTTTTAGGTTTTTGCAAGTAATTGTCTCGCTAAAAATCTTGCCAATAGTCAATGCACACACATTCTGATCTGGATTTATTCTGCATATGAAACAATTTTCACCATCCAAATGGATAAAAAATAAGTCCCGCCCAACATTATAAAGGTGTTGTGAATGTGTTTCATGTTGACTTTAGCACGCTAAGCCTTATTTTTTTCTCTCTGTGCCTAAAAAAAACCCTTCCAACATGTTAAAGACATATAATAAAAAGTGTGTTTGTTGATGCTAATAAGCGCTTATGAAGATGCATGCTGCGTTTATTCTACAGGCATTAATATGCGAGAGAGACCCCCCTCTTGTTTAGTCTGTACTGTATTTTTAGACCCCAAAAAGCACTACTAGTGTCCAGTGTCTTCTTAATATGAAACTGTGAGAACAACTGATTCGTCTCTACACAGAACGATGTGTCTCTGTATGTTGTGCTGTCATGTGTCATCCCTTTAATATTGTTTATGATGTACGTCTTTCAAAGCAAATTCATGATTTGTTTTTCTTTTATTTGGAGCGTATGTGCCAAATTATCAACCAAAGCCAGTAAATTAACTTAAAGATGTTATGGCAAAGTGTATGTGTTTTAGCTACGACCGGAAAGCTAGCAAAAGTGAAAGCTAAAAAAGTGCTTGCTAGCAAAAGAGCTGATCTAGAACTAGGTTTACCTTAAAACCAGTGGAAAGTCATTGGAAATCCAGGGTCGTACTCGTACAAGAAGGATTCATTAAATAAAAGCCTGGATATCGATGCAGTTGTGCTTATTTTGAGGCATGGTTTCACAGACAGGGCTTAGATTAAGCCAGGGTTCAATTAAGACATCTAAGTAAAAAAAGTTCTGTCATCATTTACTCACCCTCATGTCGTTTCAAAGCTGTAGGCTATGAGGAAATTCTGTATGTTTGGTGAAGTTGACCAGGATCTGTCAAGAAGTACACCTAGCTAGTACTCCATACAGTATATTCCAGGTTTTCTGATGATATGTCAGCTTGTGAAAAACATACATATGAGTTTAAAGGCCCGCTCAAACCAAGAATGATAACTATTGCGTCGACGCAACTGGTAAACGAGCCGTTATCCCAGATAACAAACTGACATTGAATCAACGTGGAAACGACGTCTCTCATGACATTGAAACAACGTTGATTTTGCTCATCGAATTAACATTGAACCAACGTCAGACGCGGCATTCTTCAAAGCTAAATAAAAAAATCGAAAATTGGTTTGCTTTCATAACGTTGAAACAACGCGTTGATTTCAAGTTGATTTTCCGTTAGTTTTGAAAGAATGACGCATCTGACGTTGGTTCAACGTTAATTCGATGAGCAAAACAATGTCAGATCAACGTTGTTTCGATGTCATATTTCCACATTGATTCAATGTCAGTTTGCTATCTGGGTATGTCTTCTGCCGATTTAAATGTTCGCGCTCTTTTACGCCGACTGGATTCTGATTGGCTGTCAATTATTGTTAATCGGCGGGGAAAATGTTGTTCTGAAAACTGGAATCCAGCGACGTCGTTCCTTTTTGTCGTTTTCATTATAGTTTCGGGATAGTCTTGTTGAATTTGAACGAATATTAAAACGATATAGGCCTATTTATAGTTATCGTCCATGGTGTGAAGCCTCTAGACGAGATAAGCGGTTTAAAACGCGAGTAAATGATGACGGTTTTTCGTTTAACAGTGAACCATCCTTTAAGAGCACACAGAAGTCGAAAAGAGAGAAAGGTTCTCCGGTTCTTTTAAAGGGAAGTGTTGGATGTTCTGGAAGTTTTGAAAGGAAATGGGAGAATCAGATGATGCCTTCATCCTCTGACAAGCCTTGAGGTTGGTAGCGATTTTCAAATAATTTCAATTAGCCTACAGATGTTATTTTTATCCATCAGGATGTGATTTCTGGGTTAATGTATTAAGATCACTATATTGTGAGCACCTTTCTGTGGGTCTCCATCAATATTTGCTTTTCAAACACGGTTAAATTAAACGTTAAAACCCCAGAATAAAATTATGTCATTGTGTGTTTCTATTGTGTTTCCCTCAGTTGTCTCCAGTAGGGGGAGCTTTAGGATCTATGCTTATTTCTGGGATTCAGTGCCTTTAGTTTGCCCAAAGAGCATCTTTGTACTGCCTTAAAATGTTGAACAGTATCAATTTTAAACTTGGTATGCCATCTAAAAATATTAAAGTTGATTAAAACGTTAAACATTTACAGCATTTTACCAACATATATCACAATTTCCCCTATTGGCCTGTGTAGCTTATTTTCATGATAAATACAACATTCATTTTATTTTTCCATTGTTGATTACATTAATGATTACATGAATTATTCTCTCTGATAGGCTTATTTTTTTAATAATTACATTTATTTTAAGAATTAAAATCTTAAAATCCACACTGTGATGAATGATAAATGAAAGTTTATTATTTAAAAATTAAATGACATCATATCACAAAGCAGTCAATTGAGTGATATCCTCGATTTTAAATATCTAATAGGCCATTATACCACTAAATGAATTAGCATCATAATGCAATTTTCTGAAAAAAAAAAAAATGAAAATAAAAATCACGGAAAAACAATGTGCAGAAGTGAATATTTCATTATTTACAAACTTAGGTCTACAAATGGCTGAAAAAAAGAAACAAGAGTTTGAATGGCACATCTTCAAGTAGATCACTTCATTAAGTTCGACTCGTTTTTTGCAACTGAGGGCTTGTGGTTCAGATACTGTAGTGTTCTAAGACCGCTTTATCACAGGATCTGTGAAGAAGGGAAGATTTATCATAGAAACGCATTAGAATTGCATTGACTTCTCAGTTTACCTTTCAAAGCTTTGAATATATCCTCAGCTAGCTGGACACTGTCATCCTCTGTCTGTCGTCACTACTCTATGAGTTACACTGAACATGAGATTAGAAGAAGGCCAACACCAGCAATAAAGCAACCTGTGAGTACTGCATATTGATAATTGAGATTTATTTCATATGAACGTGTCTATTGTGGTCATGCTAACATGCACTTTCTTCACCTGTTGCAAAGATTTAAGGGAATTACATGAATGACTCCTTAAATGGATACTTGGCTAACATTTTCTAACATCTTTAAGAAAAGATAGAAAAAATATCTATCTAAATTATCTAAAAATTATCTGAAATGTGGTAATTTCAGTATATTACTGACATACAATGGACAAAAGTGAACAACATATTAATTGCTTATTGCTATGCTTAATAATAGTTGACAAATGTTTATAATACATTATAAGTTGGTACATTGTACATGTATTTTTTTCTTTAAAATAAATACATTTAAAATGATAAATACATAAATATTTAAAATATATTGCAGAAGTACATATATTTTAAACCCACTAAACCTTCATAAATCATATAATGTTCTTACACAAAGTGCACATAAATGAAAAATATATTGCAGAAGTACATATATTTTAAACCCACTAAAACAGGGGTGTCAACCCCGGGCCACATCAGCATTATGGTTTGCCTCAAAGGGCCAGTTGTAACTATAAAACCACCACTTAACATATTGTTAAATAACTCTCTCAGCATTTGTCATCCAGGTGGATGCTGCACATTAGTGGTGGTTGAGGTGATTCCCCCTTCAATGTAAAGCGCTTTGAGTACCTAGAAAAGGACTATATAACAAATTATTTTTTATAAAATTATGCGATTTGATAACTATTTATTCAAGTGTACAAATACAGCAAATGCATTCAAATAAATGTAAAATATATGCAAGCACATTGCTCTGTGTTATTATAACATAAATTTATCTAATTTATTGGGTTAAGAAAAGATCATACTTGTCAAGTGAATAACAAAGACAAATATCATTAAACACAAGTACGTAGCTTTATTTTAAGATAATCATTTACCTGTTGAACTCGCTCGGGCCACATAAAATGACAGGGCGGGCCGAATACAGCCCGCGGGCCTTGAGTTTGACACATGATGTGCACTAAAACCTTCAATAAATCGTAATGTTCTTACACAAAGTGCACATAAATGAAACTTTAAGTAAGCGTTTAAATAAACTAAAACTCCACTAATAGTATGTTTGTGTTTGGCATACTTCTGTGTGACTAGACATATATTTATTATTACCAATGTAGGCTACTTGTACACTGTAAAAAATATTTTCAAGATTTGTTATCACAACATATTTTCTTTTGTCAAATCAACTTTATAATAATTTATTTAGTTGAGATAACGTATTATTTTGAGTTTCTGATGAATCTACTTCATTGTATTAACTCACTTTTTCCAGTTTAATCAACTTAAAATTTTAAGGCAACCCAGGTTACTTACTTTTTTAAGTTAAACCAACAATATTTTTTACAGTGTTGTAATCACAACATTTTTTTTCTTTTGTCAAATCAACTTAAATAATTTATTTAGTTCCGATAACATATAATTTTGAGTTTCTGATGGTTAAATGAATCTCCTTCATTGTATTAACTCACTTTTTCCAGTTCAATCAACTTAAAATTTTAAGGCAACCAGGTCACTTCCTTTTTTAAGTTCAACCAACAATATTTTTTTACAGTGTAGTATCATTTTTAGAAATAT